TGACCGTCTCACAGTAGATGGTGACAACCTGCTTCCCTCTTTATGTGTTCTTTATCATCACTATGATACGCTCTGACTAGCGTCTCCTGAGTATGGCAACAATCCCATATACCTCCCTTTAATTCACATGTGTCTTGTCTGCTGCTCAGTCGAATAGGCGATATAGGAAACCCGAACCCCGGCCGGAAATTAAGACGGACTACACTGAGGATGACATGCACGAGATGCTGGGAAAATATCGGTAGTAAGGAACGATCAATTCTGGAAATGAAAAATTTTCTATTGAGATTCTATTGAGGTTATTGATGGTACTATAATCACTGGAGTTTCACCCGTTTTACGTGAAGTGGCGTAAAACTTGGTGAAAAACGCGATATTCGCGGTGATATGCAGTGGTCGTGAAATATGTTTTTCACTAGTGTTTTTCATATCACGGGTGAAACTACACTATATTTTCTCTATTGTTATTGATTCTAATACGCGTATATGTTACTGGACATTCTTGATTTCACAGAGCTTGGAGACTCTTGAACTTGACTGTTGAAGTTAGTAGACTAATAGGAAATAGAGGCTACCTTCTGGCATACTAGGGAGTTTCACCACCCGTTTTACGTGAAGTGGTGTAAAACTCGGTGAAAAACGCGATATTCGTGGATTCTTGTAGCAGTCGTGAAATATGCTTTTCACTAGTGTTTTTCATATCACGGCTCGTGGAACTCCTATCTTTAGTGTATGTGGAATGTTCAAGGCTTTATGAACTGTATCGGGAGTCCCGATTCGGGATAAGGATGGAATGACGTTGAAGGCCAACAGTTTAGTTATCAGTACTGAAAACTCCTTTAGAAAAGTGGAGCGGGGAGGATTTGAACTCGGGATCTGATCCTGGGTAATGAGAGTTTTTTTTTCAGATTCGAGATTTCCGGTTATTTCCCAGCGGACGAATTTGGATTTACGGCGGCTGCTTTTGAGAAGGAGATTTGGAAGGTTGCTGATGACCTCTATCTCAAAGGCTGGATACGGGTACTGTCGGGCGCTATTCACGAGGATTGTTGTGCAGGAAACGACTGAGGATGAGCATCTGTACCAGTGTTGGAATGTGTGTATGGTTTTCTATTACATTACCTTATGGAAGTTCACATGCGAATTCGGGTAGGAATGTACAAAAAACCTACAAAAAATTTCGCTATCATATTGTCACTCACTTGCATAGTTGAACATGTGCATCTTCTCCAACACTGATTTTCGGGTGCTCCGGCAGGTACGGGAAAAGTTCGCGCAAGGAGAGCTTGGTGGCGACGTAAATGCTCTGTCGTATTTCCGAAAATGGGTTGAGCAACAACATAATAAATCTGGTAGGAATTTACGCGTTTGAATGTCATACAGTGCAAAGCAAACAGTTATGCATATCTAGATTTTCGAGATGGCTTCTTCCAATTCGAGAGTAATACGAATATAGACTACGGAACGCTTCTGGGACGTTGCTGTCAATCGATTCACATTGTTATCATGTTGATATCACTCAAAGTTGACTTTCGAACTCTCGAAACTTGAAGGCGTTGAAAATATTACTTTGCATAATAACGGTTTGGTTCACACTGTAGTTGTGTTTACTATTTTAGTGGTATGAATATTATATGAAAAACACTAGTGAAGAACATATTTTACGACAGTTTGCATATCACCGCGCATATCGCGTTTTCGCCCAGTTTTACGCCACTTCACGTGAAACGGGTGGTGAATTTCCATTGAAAATGTCATGTAATGGAGTGAAAATGTGAAATTATATTAGGGCGGATGCGTTTAATAAGGAAAGTAGCACGAATTTACTATCATTGCTGTCCCTTACATGTCTCGTGCGCTGTTCTACTCAACGACTAGAGCAGAACGCGGTAGGTAGAATACAGATAAGTTAGAAGCGATACATTAGGTAAGGGACAAGGCTATGTAGCTATTTACTGGTGATTGTGTATTGGGACAGGGCGCTCTTAGTTGTCCTCAGGCCCCCAACTATCGGGTTATGCTGATTCCCTTCAGGTGTTATACGTACGAGTCATTTCTTTGATGATAATTATGGTATAGCCAAGCTGCCGGCACCTGTCTTGAAGTGTATCAAGGATATGCGCCCATATCGAAAGAAGCGGCTGCATATGGGCAAAAAATCTATTCGGAAGGATGTAAGGAATAGACTGTGGATGATATTATTGATACCACTCCTCAGCTGACTCGTTATGAGGCGTACAGTAAAGCTGAGGAGCTTCGAAGGGAGAGGTTGGTGGACGAAGCGATGGTCCAAGACTATTGATTGTGATTGGAATGGGCATGGTTAGAAAGATGAGTTTCTGAGGCGTAGTTGTGCCCAGTAGTTAGTTGTGAATTAGCAGTTTATGGAGGGGGACCATGGGGGGACAGGGGCATCTAACTATGCTGGAGAGGGCACCTGTGGGGGTAAGCTCGAACGGAGTAGTAGGAGTCAAGGCTTGTGGTCATCGGAGGGATCGTTGGAGAGTTTGGCTGTCGCGACTTGGGAAGTAAATCTGTGATCGCCATTGGTCGCTTTATGTGGTCGTTTATGTTTATGGGCCTATCGTGAAGGCGAGAGTTGATAAGCGAGAAAGTTTGAGCTCCTGCTGTTGCTACTGGTATTTACTCCAAGAAGAATCACTGCGTATGAGGTCGTTAGTATTGCTATAGTACTCAGGCTGTCATGGTTTGGCGTCGCCCTCGGTGCAGGGGGGGGACTCATGTAGCGTTGAGAAATAACGTCCTCGAGAGGTTGATAAG